TTTTAGTGATTGAGGGAAAGGTCAAGATAATTCTACAAAGACCAAACTTTACCACATCCTTTTTGGTAATGATTGGATTTTACATATCACACTTAGACCTGTTCTCCTTGTACCTCCTGAATGATTTGAGACAGATCTCTAGGACAAGAGATTCTGTTAGGGTTCTGGGTGAGGACAGCAGAGGCCATATGGTTATCTGGTCTTGGCCTTAAACGTCTCAGGATGTTAGGCAGCTCTAGTCTACAGAAAATGAACTGTCCTCCTTCCCTCAGAGACAGACTAGGGCTCAGAGGTGGCATTTGGCATGGGTTTTGGGGGCTTTGCAAAATGTACCAGCCTTTTAGTAAGAGTCTGCATGTGTATAAAGGGCTTACTAAGTTCTAAGAGCTTTGCATGTAACTGTGTTACAAGGCAAGTATTTGTATCCTATTACACATTAGAGGAAACTGATGCTTAGAGCAACCAGGTGATGAGCTTAAGGTTACTAATGTACCAAGTGGCAGAGCCACGGCTTGAACCCAAGTTTGTGAGACTGAGAAATCAGTAGGGTTTTCTCCAATGCCTTTATGGTAGAAGCGTGGAATAGTACATGCCTCATGTGGGTGAGGTACACTGGTTCACATGTTCCATTTCAGTTTTTTCTCCTGTTGATCTCCATCAGAGTTCAGAAAATTGTTCAGAAAAGTCAGTGTGTGCAGCCTACCTCTGTGCTGTTCCACAGTCCCTGGCCTCTCTCTGATCCTGCCACTGCTGTATTGAACAGTTCTGTGTAAGCTCAGACTCTGCTACGGTTTGGATCTTAAGTAGCCCCCACAGGCCCATGTGTTAAAATTTCATTATCTACAGTGGCACTGTTGGGAGATGGTGGAAATTTAAAAAATGGAGCTTAATGGGAAGTCTTCTATCTGTAGGGGTGTGCCCTGAGGGGGATTCTAGGACCTTGGCATCTTACTCTTTCTCTCTCTCTTCTTTTGCTTTTCAGCCATGAGGTGAGAGGTTTTGCTCCATCACATGCTCCCTGTTGTGATATGCTGTCTTTTAACACAGGCCCAAAAGCAATGGTGCCAACTGGTTGTGGACTGAAACTCTAAAACTGCAGGCCAAAATAAATCCCCTCTGTAAGGTGATGATCTCAGGCATTTGTTACAGTAACAGAAAGGTGACTAAAACAGATTCATTCTCAAAGTCCTACTTCAAACAGGAGCTAGAGTCTTTCTGGATTCCAGTTCAGGGTTTCTCCCATGACAAAGAAGCTTGCTCACAATGTGCAAAGTCTGCCTAAAAGTGCAAGGCAGTTAAAATTGGTGCAATCACTATGGAAAACAGTATGAAGCTTCCTCAGAAAACTTAGAATTGAACCACCATTTGACCTAGCTATCCCATTCCTTGGTTTATACCCAAAGGAGGTAAAATCAGCATAGTATAGTGATACAGCCACATCATTGTTCATAGCAGCTCAATTCACAACAGCTAAACTATGGAACCAACCTAGGTGTCCTTCAACAGATGAATGGAAACAGAAAATGTGGTACATATACACAACGGAATATTACTCAGCCTTAAAAAAACAATGAAATTATGGCATTTGCAGGTAAATGGATAGAACTAGAGAATATCATGCCAAGTGAAATAAGCCAGTCCCCCAAAACCAAAGGCTGAATGTTTTCTCTGATAAGCAGATGCTGATCCATATTGGGGGTGGGTGGATGGGAAAGAATGAAGAACTTTGGTTTGTACAGAGGAAAGTGAGGGAAGGAGTGGGGCTGTGAGAATGGAAAGGATGCACGTATGATTACACAACTGGAGTGACTCTGCACCATGTGCAGCCTGAGGAATGAGAAGTTGTGTACAATGTGTCAAAATGCATTCTCCTGTCATGGGTAACTAATTAGAATAAATTTTAAAAATTAAAAAAAAAATAGTGTAAGGCAGTTAAGTTTCCCAGAAACAATCTTAAATCAGTGAGGGAGAGGAGCAGCAGATAGATTCCAGCTATCGTCTTTGGATGAACACTTACTTCTTGGAAGCATTCTGTACACTTCTCAGAGGTTCTTTCCTACATCCCTGTCTCATTCTTCCTACTCTTATACTTCTGCTTTCTCAGATCACCTTCTGAGTAGACCATCTAGGGAAATCCAAAACAAGATGGTGCGTGCGCATATGTATTAAAGGCTGTGTGAATTGGGTTGACCCATGATAGTGGCAATAGGAAAAAGCTTTGAATGGAAGGCAAATTCTAAGTGACAGTTTCCAGGGCCTCCTTTCCTTTCCCGGAGAATCTCCACAAATAAAGTTCCTAGGACTCCTGAAGCTTCTGTCTTAGTTTGTTGAGGCCTAAAGAGAGTGATTTCTTGTCATGTGTCACAGTGGGTGGGGTCATTCATTACTCAGTGGGATATTTCAGGAGGCAGATGTCCCTGTCTTTTGTTAGGGACTCCTCAGCCCTTGGTGGTGGCTTCCCCAAACTGTCAGTTAGCAGAGCTGTCTTCGTGGTTCTCAGCTGTTCCTCAGAGGGACTCCTGGCCCTGGTTTCAATGCACCAGTTTTCTTGGTCAGAGTCTGGATCTTTCATGGCAGCGGGCAGGAAGGCTGTTTTACCTGGTAATGTCTTTGGGCCTGATATCCAGCCGCATCCTAAGCCTCTGTATAAAAACAAAGGGGGGAATTTAACCAGCTGGAAAAATCAATTTAAATGCTTACAGAGAAACAGTAAGGCCTCACACTGCCGCTTCATTTTCACGAAGTGAGTCACACAAACGGCTGACCTCATGGCTGATCTATGAGCCCTGGCGCAGGAATGGCCTCAGATCTGATTCCTGGAACCCTGGCGCCAGTCAGAGCCCAGAGTGGCCTTTGGCCATTAGGAAGTCAGATTACCTCTCCAAGGAGAACGTTCCCAGCTCAGGGCCCCAGAACTGACTCTGAGTTCTTGATTGGTCAGTTTCAGTGACTAATCCTCTTTTTTCGGTGACTGATTGGCCAGTTGCATCACCCACCCATCGCAATATGCGGCTCTCATTGGTCAGGTCCATCATGTGCTCTCCAAAGACTTAGTTCTCAGACTGATAAGATCCACCACCTAGTCAGCTGAAATGAGTCTCTGATTAGTCTGGTCTCATAAACCTTCCATCCAATTTCTATTTAAAGGCTATTTCCTGCTCTGATCATCTAAATTTATGCTGCTCTCAGACTAATCTTGAATGTTTCTGTTTCATTACTTCTCCCTGTCTGGCAAAGTTAGGAACAAAGGTTTGGAGTCGGATTTGAGTCCCAGTTCAGCCACTTGTAAACTCTGTAACTATAGACAAATGATTCCACTTTTCATTACCCCAAGTTTAATAACTAAGAGTTCTGGTGTTATGGGTTTCGAATCATAGCTACTTGATTTTAAATAAGTTACTTAACTTCTCTGAGCCTCTTTTTCCTTGGCTGTAAAATAGGGATATTAGCTGTGCATACCTCAAAGACTTATTGTGGGTGTGAAATAAGATAATAAATGTAAAATAGTTGGCAAATAATAAGTTCTCAGAAAATGTTAGATATTTTTCTTGTGTTTAGAGAAAGGGAACTTAAAGAACAATAAAGATCCAGCCTTGTCTTTAGGTGGCTAAGGCTTTGGTTCCAAACGTCCACCAATGTGCAGACCTGACTGACTGTTAATGATCTTATGGAAGTTGTTCTATCTTTCTGGGTGAGAACAATTCCAGCATAAGGTCCTACTTGGTATGAAGTGCAGGCAGAGGTTTCAAGTATAAGCCAAAGGTCCAGGAAGAGCAGGAAAATGTAGAAGAATGTTGCTTAAATATCCATGGCTCCTACCTGGTGCAGTGGTACAGGAGAGGATGAGGCAGAAGAATTGCAAGTTTGAGGCCAGCCTCAGCAAGCAACTTATTAAAATCCTCAGCAACTTAGCAAGATTCTGTCTTAAAATAAAAAATTAAAAGGATGGTGATGTAGCTCAGTGGAAAATGCCCCCAGTTTCAATCCCCAGTTCTCCCCCCCTAAAAAAAAGGGGGGGAGAGACCCACATGAGTCAGAGGTGATAACAGTATTGATTCTGGCTATTACATATATCAAGGCATCTAAAAATTAGCATGAAAACATTATCAAAGAAAGAAGTATGTGCATAAATTGGATTCAAATATATGATTTAGGATTTGGAATTCAAACATATAGTTACAGTATCACAATATGTAATAACTATTACAACAGAGGAAGTAAGATCTAAAATATATTAAAGTACATCTTTGCATTATTCAGTTAATTTTATTTTCTGCCAGTTGACCAATAACACTTATTTACTATCCTATTAGTTTTTAATTGGTCAAGCAGTTATAAGATCAAGCTGCATTGTAATGATAAAAACAAAAACATCATCGTTTTAAAAATATAGCACAAGAAATTTCTCTATGAGTATATTCAACTTTTGGAATTCACACTTTATTTTGTTAAAGACCATTTCTCTTACATTTATTACTCTAAAATCTTTGAATTATGCTATACTATACCTATTGGTTTCATATGCAAATTAACATACACCTGTCTGGTCAGTGTATTGGAAGTCCCTGGATGTTCTAGTGATCATCAGCAGGGATGCTGCTGTCAAGTGTTTGCGTGCCCTTTGAAACTTGGCTGCTTGTTAACAGAAAGAGAATAGAAAACTTTATCATAATCATAATTCAGGGATCATGTATAATTTTCAAGCTCCTCCTTGTATATTTTTCTGTTCTGTGTGGCTTGGGTTGGTGTCCTACAGTGTCCAACCTCTGAGCTGTAGGACTGGTGCAGGGGAGGGAGAGGAAGTGATGTAAAGGAAGTTCCTTCAGACAGGAAGGAGAAGCAGAGAGCTCTTCATTGCTGGGAAAGGATAAGATCAGGATGCTGCCTTTATCCAGGAGATAGAGGAGAGAAAAGACAATAGATGCCCCAATAAAAACACACCCCCAACAGGTTCAGAGAAACACTGCAGACTTTCATGATGTTGTTGTATTTTCTTTCAGCTTCACTCCCATAGTGAGAGTTATGAGCCTGATGACCTGAGCTATCATGTGCTATGGAAGAGATCTAGAAGTATCTACATGTCTGTGGCAAGCAGAGAAGATGGCCAAGAGTTAAGAATTGTCAGGCCAACCCCAAGGTCACCATGGTATGGAATTACAAGGACCTCCAAGGCTTGGAGGTCTGAAGACTTCAGACACAGAAGCCTGTGGGAGGTACAGGTGGGAGTTGTAGCCACATCTCACAGATCAGTGGCTTGAGCAAGAGCCTACAGCAAGATGAGAGGGCCATCTCCAAGAAAGCAATCGGGTGCTTGGAGAGCACAGATACTGACAGCACAGATGGTGAGATTGCTCACCAACTGTTGAGGAAAGATGGAGATGCATGTCCAGAAACCATATGGGTTGCTACCCCCGTTCCACCTACCCCTGCCCTGTGGCAAAGGCCAGAGGTTCTCCTCCAAGCCACCAGGGTTTGAAGCATCCTTCTTCCTCCCAGAGCCTCCAAAGCATTCAGGGAGAAGGGAGGAAGGCGCGCGAGGCAATGCCTTGGGATATGAGTATCTACCTCCCAGAGGGTGAGCTGACTTAGAGGCTATTTTAACCAGAAAAGTTGGAGAATAAGTCCCACCTATCCCCCAGCCTTCAGGTTGTAGACTTTAAAACAAGATGAAAGAATATAGAGAAAAACAAAGAAAATTCTATCTGTAATGCATAAATTATAATCCAGTCACAAAACATAGAGTGGACAATGTCATTGTCCTAAAGGCAATGTAAAATCCAACTGTTTTAAATCACATTTCCCCACATCATAAAACCCTCTTGGTTGAGAGGATAATACTTTAAAAAAAATTTGTGTCATGTGTCCAGGGCATATATGATTGTTCTCTGATCTGCAGATTCTTTAGGGGAAAGGCTTATAGTGCATCATTTTTCATCCTGTAATTGATACAGCAACTGCCCATTGAGACATAAGATTTCAGAGACTAAGTACAGCTACTGGCTTTGTTTGCATTTCTTAGTCCAGTCCCATTAAAAATGGGTGAAAAATTCAGTGTGGCAGACACACCAAAGATATAAAAACAATTCTCAAGTAACCCTTCAGAAGTATTATTAATGCTGCTTTGTGTGAAATCATTTAAAAAGCCAAACTGGCAAAAAAATTAAAACTAAATTTGCTGAGATGATTACTATGAAATAGTGCAACCTGTGAACTGACATTTCTGTAGTATATTCTGTAGTTTCCACAATGCCTATCACTTTAGACTTTGGAAGAATATTATTTCTCCAACGTAAAAATAAAGACTCTTTTAAGAAAGATAAGAGGTGGCAGCACTGTAATCAAAATGTTCAAATAGCTGGGACCTCTCTTCCCCTCAGGAACTGAAAAATCAGAGCATACCCTCTGTAATTTGTATGAAGTTTTCATAGCAACAGAATGTTGCTTGATTGTTATATTGTCAAGATTTATTTTATATTTTTAGGTGTTTTTTTTTAAAGGATGAAGTGTATTTTGTTTTAAGCGATAACTGGTAGAATCATTTAAGCGATAACCTGGTGATTGGTAAAGTTGGGTGTCTGGTTATTATAACAAGTCCTTTCATATTGTGCTAGTGCTCAAAGGAGGCACAGGAGACTTCACATTGGGGTCGATTTTTCCTGCCAGAAGATCTTGCTATTCTCAAAATATCTGCCTGAAACTCCCACCCTTGTAGTCCTGTCAGCTAAAGTGCCTCTGCTATGCAATGTGCTCACCTGGGCAGAGGGGACAATACAAGATGGAACCTGACGGTAAAACATAGCCGGGGATATTGAGAAACACTTACTGAGAGTGTGCCAGGCACAGTCAACTCTTTAGGAGCCTATTGGTTTAAAAAAAAAAACAAACTTTTTATTGAAGTATAGTATAAATAGAAGAAAATACATGGAAATATACAGCTTGGTGGTTTTCATCTGTGTAATTAGCCCCTAAATCAATAAACAGACCATTAAAGGACCTGAGGAGCCTCTAATGTCTTCTCTAGTCTCTTCAGATTTTCCCCAGGTAATTAGCATCCAGGTTACTAGCAGCATATATTAATTATGTCTGATTTTGAAGAGAAACTTTTATTTTGAAATAATCTGAGATTTGCAAGAAATTGCAAACATAGTACAGAGAATTCCTGTGAATCCTTTACCTAGCTTCCCCCAACAATACATTATAGAACCATAGTACATCATCTCCCAGGAATTTCATGTTGATAAAATATTATTAGCTACAGATCTTACTTAGCTTTCAGCAGTTTTATATGCACCCATTTTTGATATATAGTTCTATGAAATTTTATCATATTTATAGATTCATGTAATTACCAGCACAATCTGATACAGAAAAAAATTCGTGATCAAAATTTTGCTTGGTTTTAAACTTTTTCTAAATGGTACCACAGAGTATACTTTCATTCCTGGCTACTTTCACTGAATATCAAGTTTGCAAAATTTATTCTTCTTGTTGTGTGTAGTTGGAGTTTGTTTACTCTCCTTGTACCCTATTGTGTGCATAGCCTTTTATTTATCTCTTCTACTGTTGTTAGACATTTTGTTACTTTTCAATTTTTGTCTATTAGCAATGGAGCTGTTTTGAATATCCTAGTGTATCTTCAGGTGAATATATATAATCATTCCTCTTAAGTATGTATCAAGAAGCAGGACAGTTGGGTATTAGGGAATGCCTATGTTTATCTTTGATAAATACTGAAAATCAATTTTCCAACTGTGTTATGCCAACTTACATTTCCAGTAGCAGCTGACAGGGTCCTGGTTTCTACATCTGTATCAAATCTTGGTATTTTCAGTCTTTTTTCCTCCTAGCTGTTCAGTGGTATCAATACTATGTAGCAGATTTAATTTGCATTCCCCTGATGACTAGTGAAATTGAGGACTCTTTCATATATTTATTGGCTACTTGGATATTATTTTTTTGAGAAATGCCTGTTAAAGATTTCTGCCATTGAAAATTATGTTGTCTTTTTCTTCCCTTGTTGATTTATAAGAATTTGAATATGAGTGTTTATTAAGTAAGTATGTGACAATATCTCTTCCCACTTTCTATTGCCATTTTGAAAATAGGCTTTTTTTTAAGAGCAGTTTCAGATTAACAGCAAAATTGAGCATAAAGTACAGAGATTACTTGTAGTCCCTGCTCCCACATCACACTATCAGCCTCCCCCACTGTCAATATTCTGCTCTGGAATGGTCCATTGGTTATAGCCAATGACACACACTGACACATCATTATCAACTGAATTCCTTATATTAGGGTTCACTCTAATATCCTATGGGTTTTGACAAATGTATGATGACATGTGTCCATCATTATAATTTGCAGGGTAATTTTATTATCCCTAAAATATTCTGCATTCCCCTTGTTCATCCCTCCCTGCCTCCCACTCTTGCCTTCATAGTTTTGCCTTTAGCAGAACATCACGTAGTTGGAATCATATGTAGATAGATTTTTCATATTGGAGTCCTTTACTTAGTAAAAAACATTTACTAAGGTTCCTCTGTGTCTTTTAATGATTTGATAGCTTATTTCTTTTTAGCATTGAGTAATATTCTACTGTCTGTTTATTCATACCTCTACTGACAGACATCTTGATTGCTTACAAGCTTTTGAAATTAGAACTAAAGTACTGTAAACATCTGTGCAGGTTTTTTTTTTTTTTTGGACATAAGTTATCAACTTATTTGAGTAAATACCATCAAATGCAATTGCTGGATCCTATGGTAAGAGTTTAGTTTTTTTTTTTTTAAAGAGAGAGAGAGATAGAGAGAGAATTTTAATATTTATTTTTTTTAGTTTTCGGCGGACACAACATCTTTTTTTGTACGTGGTGCTAAGGATAGAACCCCGACCGCACGCATGCCAGGCGAGCACGCTACCGCTTGAGCCGTATCCCCAGCCCGAGTATGTTTAGTTTTAAGAAACAGCCAAACTGTCTTCCAAAGTGGCTGTACCATCCTGCATTCCTACCAACAATGAATAAGAGTTCCTATGGCTCCAAATTCTCAACAGCATTTGGTGGTGTCAGTGTTTTGGGTTTGGCCATGATTAGAGATATGTAGTGTTATTTCACCATTGGTTTAGTTTGCAGTTCCCTAAGGACATATGATGTTGTGTATCTTTTCCCATTCTTATTTGCCCTCTATTTTTTTTTCTTTTTGGTGAAGTGTCTATTCAGAGCATTTTCCCATTTTTTAAAAACATTTATCTTTTAGTTGTAGGTGGTCACAATACCTTTATTTTATTTTTATGTGGTGATGAGGGTTGAACCCAACAGCTCACACATGCTAGGTGAGTGCTCTTCCTCTGAACCCCAACCCCAGCCCCAACATTTTCCCATTTTTAATTGGATTTTTTTTATTGTTGAGTTTTAAGAGTTCTTTATAAATTTTGGATAACAGCCTCCTCCTCCTATCAGATAGATCTTTTGAAAATATTTTTCAATTCAAATATCTTCTCATTATTTTGATATGTTGCCTTTTCTCACACTTTTTTTTTTTGCAGGGGGAGGGCACTGGGGAGTAAACCCAGGGGCGCTTAACCACTAAGCCACATCCCAGCCCTTTTTATTTACTCTTTTAATTTTGAGACAGGGTCTTCCTAAGTTGCTTAGGGCTTCGCTGGGTTGCTGAGGCTGGCTTTGAAATTGTAATGCTCCTGTCTCAGCCTCCTGAGCTGCTGGGATTACAGGTGTGTGCCACTGTCTTTTTTTCACTCTCTTAGTGGCATCTTTGAATGAGCATTCTTAGTCTAAAATGGATCTAATTCATAAAAATTTTTCCCCTTATTATTTACAGATTTTTATGCCCTATTTAAGAAACTTTTGCAAAGTGACAAAAATATTCTATATTTTAGTGTAGCATGTTTATTGTTTTACTTTTCACCTTTAGGTTTGTACTCCAACTGAAATTGAGTTTTGCGTGTGTGTGAGGTGGTGGGAGTGGTCACAATTCTCTTCTTTCTCTGTGGATATCCAATTGACCCATTGCCATTTGCTGAAAATATATAATTTCCCTAGTGTACTGCAGTGGCATCTTTGTCATAAACCAAGTGTCCATCCATGTGTGGGTCTGTTCCTATTGATCTTTTATTCTTCATAACACCTCTTTGTAAGAGGTGGGGGCTCAGAATTTAGTGCTCTTGCCTTCCTGACTGTCTCAACAGAGACCTGGCCTAGGACTGATTGGAAATTGGGAAACTTTTGTCACTGTAGTCAATCCCATGTGCTTCGGAATCTGGCAGATTCTGCATGTGAGCATTTACTGTGTCTGCGTGCCTTTGAACAAGTTGATTGACTTGTCCAAGGCTGCTTTTCTATGTAAAATGAAGATAAGAATAATTTCATATGGCACTGGAGAGGCTGAGGCAATTAAATGTATATTTTCTTGTCATTGTTATTATTGTTGTTATCTTAAGAATGATCACAAGGAAGACCAGATGATTACACAGAATCCTCTGAGGGCTTTAGTTTCTGTCCCCTCCCCTACCTTATTCCAATCTCAGAAAGATCCTGAGCTAATCTCCTTGTGAGGACAGAGGAATGGGGAAGGGTTTGAAGACTGCCTCCTTGGGGAAACCCTTGCTTCCTGTCCCCAAGGCTTCCACTTTCCCCCATCTCTGCAACTTCCATCCCTAATCTCCCTTCTTGGGAATTTGTCATGTACTATCAGTTCCAAGGCAGGCATGGGATGCAGGGGCAAGAGCAAGCCACAAGAGTCAGAAAGTCCTACTTTTTAGGCCCAGTTATATAGTTCATTTGAGCCAAGATTCTCTAAGATTGTCCTTCCCTGAGCCTTAGATTTTCAGTCATGGTGGAGTGAAATCATTCCAAGTCTCCTCATTGTTCATGTTTTGTAACCTCTTAACGAGATGTGAAACCAGTGACCACTGGTTTGTGGTAAGTTCCAGGGTAAGTATCCAGAGGGCCTTCAAAGAGGCTTACCCCACACAGAGGGCCTATCACTTCCCAGAGAGGAACCAGGCAGTCTGGTTGCCATTCTTTCTTATCTTTCCCAAGGAAAGATTCCAAATGATAGAAATAGCTTTATGCACAAAAATGTTCATGGAAGATATTACACCATCAAAAACACCCAATTCAGAAATAATTGCTCTGCATTATGCTTTGTTCACAGTCAGCCAGAGTGGCCTTCAGGATCCTAGTTTCAGACAGAGAAACAAGCCTGATGTTGACTTGGTTTCATGAAGGCAGCCACAGTACTAGATATACAATCATATAGTCATTGATCACCCGTTATGTCCCGTGTCTTGGTCTAAGGTGTGGATATACAAAGATGAATCAGACACTATTTCTGTCCTTTGAGGAGTTTACAGTCTAGTTAAGAAAGCAGAACTCTAAGGGATGAAGTAAAGGTCAACATACATGCTGCACTGGGGCTGTGAAGGGTGTCATGACAGCCCACAGAAGAGAGAAAGTTACTAGAAAAATAAGAAAAAAAAATAAAGAAATATTTCCTGGAGGAGATGGCATCTGGGTTTTCTAGATGAGAAGCTAGAAAAAAATTTCAGGCAGTGAAAGCAAAGGCATGGAGAGAGGAGTTCCTCTGTATGTCTGAATTGGTGCATGAGGTGCCTTTTAGGGTATATAAGGTAGATTGTAGAGCGCATGGGGTAGATTATAGGATGCATTGGGTGGGTTATAGGGTACATGTGGATGGCATAAAGAGAAAAATAGAGAAGAGATAGGATAGCAATCAAGATGATGTCAAACATGAAGGTCTTTGAACACTAGGGTAAATAGTGTTGGCTGTGAGTGAAATAGTTTGCAGAAGAGGGACAATAGGATAGCAAAGGAATAATGATGATCAGGGAAGTTTTTGAAAAAGTGATAGGAAAAGGGAAAGAATGAAGACCAAGGGGTCAGGTCAGAACTGCTTACAGTTTTCCAGGGGAGAAAGGAAGAGACATGGGTTTACTGAGGTCTTTGAGGATGGAGAGAAGCAGAGTCCAAATGCTATTAGGAAGAAGTATCAAAAGTGTTTGTGGATCAAGAAGATGTGGGAGGTGTGATGAGCCTCAGGTTTCTGACTCTGGCAACTGAGTAGATGGTGGTATCCTTTTCTGAGATGGAAAACTGATGAAGAGGAGTTGGAGAGAGACAAGGATGGTAGTCTGGACTTTGTTGAATTTTGGGTGCCTACAAAAATATATTAGTAGGCAGAAGGGTGCTAAATCAGGGGCTGAGAGGGAGAGATTGAGGCTGGAGATGTTGCTTTGGGCATCACTAGTTGGTGTGCTTAAAGCCTTTGGAGAAGAATGTGCATTAAGAGAAGGGAAATGAGGACAGCACTGGGGAGTCCCTACCTTTAAGGAAGGGAAAGAAAAGTGCCCGAAAGGCAGAAGAAGAGAAGAAGTGAAAGGGGTGGAAAAGGAATGGCCAGAGGAGACCAGGAGACAGCACTGTTCCTGGTGGAGGAAGGAAGGTTGGAGCTGTCACTGTGTTTCCTCACATTGAGATCCAGGAGGTTAAATACCAAGAAGTGTTCATTAACTCTAGCAGTGAAGCCGTCAGAACAGGTTAGCTTCCCTGGGTAGGGACAGAGGAATCCGGACAGGAAGGAGTGGAGGAATGAGTGGGAAGTGAGGAAGTGAAGGACAACAAATGGAGCCAGCCAATTTCAGGAGATTGACTAGAAAGATGAGAAAAGAAAACAGGGCAGTGACAGGCATGAGGGAAGGTTGAGGGAGGGTTTGAAGTTGTGATGGAGGTCATGGCCCTATTCCGGCCAACTTCCAGCGAGGATTCTTCTCCTCTGGCCAGCCTTCCCATGGAGGAACATGCCTGGGTCCCACGTCTGCTCTCTTTCCCTTTCTGTGCATGAGTGTGTGTGTGTATGTGTGTGTGCGCGCGCGCGCGTGCGTGCGCTTGCGTGGGCAACTGGAGTAAGGAACAACTAAGTGCTCTGGCTCCCCACCTGCTGTGGAGGCAGTCCTGGGGCAGCCCCAAGTTTCCTGAGGCAGGGGTAGAGGAGCTGCATCTTCTCCAAGATGAGGACGAGTTGTTGGAGTCAGGCTGTGCACCATGGGATCTGTCAGCAATCTCTGCAAGCTGCCCACCACCTGGGCCCTATCAGACAAGGCCAGCTTTGCCTACATTAATCTCCGATGAGCTTGGCCCAGCTTTCATTTCAAAAGGCTCTACTTCTTTTCTCTCTTCAAACGGGCCTTTCTTTGTAGCCCATTCCCAAAACAGGACTAAAAATTATGCTTTCTCCTTTCCTTGGTTTCTCAACCCAGCTGGGGCCAGAGAAAGCTTTGAAATTGGAGTAAGGCTCAGGATGGGGAAGGACGGGATGCTGATGTAGCTGGTAGGGAGGGAGAGGGCTGGAGGAGGAAATGGCCAACATAACTTCCAGGGGAGGGGGAGAAAACAGAGACCTTCCACATTCATCACACAGTACAGGAGACCAATGTTAAATGGCTACATGCCAAATACAAAACAGCATATTGAGTTAACCAGAATTGGTAGTTAGATAAATCTTAAAGTCCAGAAATGCTGGAAGTCAGAGTTAAGAGAGACCTTGAGGTATCTAGTCCAGCTCAATTATAGCATGTAGAAGAATGCTAGGTTCCAGAGAGAGAAGAGTGATTACACAGTGAGTTGTAGCAGGGCCAGGAAGAGAAGCTGGTTGTCAGGCTCTCACTTATGAGGCTGACACATGTAGGGTCCTGCAATAGGCATAGATGATGCTTTACTGTTAATAATTCAAGGACTGAGTTGGACTCATAGTTAATGGAGGCCAGGCATGTCTTGAAAGTGTCTCATGATAGATCTGTGGTCTACAGATTGGAGATGAGGGTGGGTTGGAGCCAAAGTCAAGGACCAGTTTATAAGAAGATTGAGGGTTGAGAGGAGAATAAATATCCCAGAATAAAATGCAAACCTAATCTTACTAGGTTTCTGTCTGTGTGATTCTATCTCTGTTTTCATGAAGAAGAGATTCAGCAATGGAAGACTGATTATATGGGTGCAGAATGGATTTACATATGGTAGAAACCCCAACTGGATCAAACAGTAAAAGCATTTATTAATTAATGAAACAGGAAGTCCAAAGATGAATTAGGCTTCAGAACTGATTGATTCAGCAGCTTAACCATGTCATCAAGGATTCAGATTTTCTGTTTCTCAATTTTGTCTTACTCCATTTCCTAAGATTGTTGCCTCCTAATTGTAAGACAGCTGCCAGTAGATAAGGGTGATTTTTTTTTCTTTTGTTCTGTTTAATGAGAAGGAGGAAAATAATCTCTCTCCCACTATGGGACGTATGTCTTTAAGTTTCATTGGGCAACTTGAGATTATAGGTCTGCATCCTGAACCAGTAACAGTCACCAGGAGAGTACTATGCTTGTTGGCTTAGTCCAGGGGTTGGAACGCCCATTAAACAAATTAAGCCAGCTACTTGACTATTCACAGGCTAGAAGCTAAGAATGTCTTTTACATTTTATATAGCTACACTTGAAAGGTTATATATACATAATATATATATATATATATATATATATATATATATATATATATATATATATATATATCTCCAGGTAATAGCTTTCTTTTTTTTTTTTCATGTTTTATCCTAGCCCTCAAACCTAAAACATTTACCATTTAGTTCTCTAAGACAAAGTTTTCACACACCTGATTTTTAGACTAATCAGGATCTACTACTGAAGTTTGGGATAAGGACTATGAGGAAGACATGTGGACATTTGCATAAAATTGGGATTCTCTTTGGGAAGGGGAACCTTGCTAGACCTGATTAGCAGAATTCATTGTAGCACAAATGACAGCTATGTATTCAGACTCATAAAAACTCAGAAACAACAATGTGACTAAATTCATAGTCTTGAAATTAGCTCAGCAACTGGGAGGTCATTGATAATCCAGGCAATCTGACAAACTGTTCTTTAATACTAAAATATGTTACTTTTTCCATGTCAGCTACCACCAACCACACGCTCTGATTCATGGTACTACTTGTGCCCATGGACTGCTGAGTCACGGAACTACTCATTCAAGGACTGCTGAGTCATGGCTCTACTCACTAGGATCTCTACTGCCTATCAGGTTTCTCCTGGTGAGTCTTTCACTTTCTGCTCCTACTATCAAAGTAACCAAGTCCTTTTCTCAGCTTTGTATTCAAATTCTAAGACCCATTTATTAGTTTGGTTCAAAACTCTAGTCTCTATTGGGCAAACCCCTGTAACCAAGGTTTCACCTGTCTCTGTCTTGTCTCTAGCTCCATCTATATTCCAAGATTGATAGAGCAGACCTCATCTAAATACCAGGCTCATCTAAATACTAAGTTCTATGAAGTGTTCTGATAAAGTTTGATTCTTCACATTCCCTAGATTTTACTCTGTGACACTGAGATAGAGGGCTGAGGTGAAGTTTCTTTGAGAAAAAAAAAATCAATTATTTGTGATGATTGATTTTATGTGTCAACGTGACTGGGATAAGGTATATTCAGATAGTTGACAAAACATTGTTTCTGGATATGTGTATGAGGGTGTTTCTGAAAGAGTTTAGAATGTGAATCAGCAGTCTAAGTAAAAAATATCTTCCTTTACCAATATGGGTGGGCATCATTCAAACTGTTAAGACCTGAGTAGAACAAAAAAGCGGATGAAGGATCTTCTTAAGTTGGGACATCTATCTTTCTCCTATTCTCAGACATTGGCACTGTAAGTTCTTGGGCTTTCAGACTCTGGTACTTACACCAGCAGTCTTCCTGGTTCTCAGGCCTTCAGACTTGGACTGAATTCCACCACTCACTGGTTTTCTTGGTTCTATGGCAGATGGTGGGGATTTCTGGTCTCCATAATCATGTGATTTTGTTCCCATAACATTCCCCCCGCCCCCCTTTCTCATTTCTCTGGAGAATCTTGATTAATCTAGCATCTAAGTTGATATCTGAGATTAATCATGATCTCCATGACTGAAGAAATCAAAAAAAGATTTATTGAATTGCCCATTGCAAGAAAGTGAAATTTTAAGTTCTCGGAATACCTCAAACACACGAAATTACTTGTTGATCATAGAAGGTTATAAAAATTGCCATTTTTGTTGGGCTGGGTTTGTGATTCAGTGATACAGCACTTGTCTATCATGCTTAAGGCACTGGGTCTAAAACTCAGCACCATATAAAAATAAATAAATTGATAAATAAAACAAAGGTATAAAAATGGCCATTCTTGTTATGATACTTTACCAAGTTCAAATATTTAACTCATTGCCAAAAATCTTATTGAAATGACAGGGAAAAATGTGAAAACTAAGAACAAAAGCACAGTAGCTCTGGAAAGTCAGAAAAAAAGACAGTAATAGCTGACAAGTTCTGAGAATTTTCTGGACAGATTTTATTGAATTAATACAACATCAAGAAATGGAGTCATTTAACTGAATAAGTACAGGAAACACCACAAAAAGCAAAACTAGGTAGTAACAGTAATAGAAAAGTACTTTCAATTGTAATTATAATTTTTGTGTACTCAGGGAAATTTAAGATGGCATCCATAAAATAATAATCTGCAGAGACTAAACAGATCAATCTCTTTTCTGAAGACACAGAAAAATTATATCTCTACCCTCTTTTGCAGCTAGCTTGGGGCTCTGCAACTGAGTTCCAGATACTGGGAAGTTTGTAAAAGTAATGTCACCACTTCCAGGCCATGAGAAATTCATGTGTGATTACCTATGCTCCTTCTTCCCCTTTAATGATGACCTGGCAGCCTTTCATAAAGATGGTGACACTATGAGTTGTAAGGAAACAAGAGTCTGGACCTTTGAGTCACTACTTGAAAGAGAGCCTGTAACCACAATATGTGTTATTCTGTTCAGGCTGTATGCAAATGAGAATTAAGGCCTTTATTTTGACTAGTCATTGTGATTAGGGACTACTTGTTTCAGGAGTCTACATAAATAATCCTTTATAATACATTAAAATATTTAAGCTATATTTAAGAAATTAAAGGCCTTGGTGGAAAAAAGTGGACAATATACATAACCAAATGAAGATTTTCAGCCGAAAGTTGGAAATTATTAAAAAAAGAATCAAATAGAAATGTTAGAAATAGAAAACATAGTAACAGAGATAAAAAGATAAAGAATGCATTCAATGGACACATAAAATAGACTTGACATAGATGAAGAAAGAATCAGCTCTATCAATTTTAAATTAATGAAACTGAAACACAAGTCAAAAAAAGAGTGGGGCTGGGGATGTGGCTCAAGCAGTATCGCGCTGGCCTGGCATGCGTGCGGCCCGGGTTCGATCCTCAGCACCACATACAAACAAAGATGTTGTGTCCGCCAATAACTAAAAAATAAAATATTAAAATTCTCTCTCTCTCTCTCTTTCAAAAAAAAAGAGCGGAGACAGGGAACAGAATAAAGCACTTAAGTTCTGTGGAACAAAATAATGTACAGTTGGAATCTCAGAAAGAGTAGAGAAAAAGAATAGAGCAGAATAAATATTTCAAAACATAATGACAAAGTGTTTCCCCAAACATAAAGAAAGAAATCAGATCACATATCTGAGAAGCTCAGAGAACCACAAGCAGAATAGGTATAAACTAATCAACCAATAACATCAAAAACAAACACAAAACAAACACAAACAATAACAACAAAACCCCTCAACCATATCTAGACTTAGCACATTCAAAATGCTGAACATCAAAAATAAAGGAGAAATCTTGTAAAATTGGGGCAAAAAGACAACTTATAAGTAGAAGAACACTTATAAGTATTAAGAAATGCAGCAGAGTTATTATCATAAATTATGCAATTCAGAAGACAATGGAGAAACATTCTCCTTTTTGTGTGGTACTAGGGATTGAAGCAAGGGCCTTATGCATACAAGGCAATACTCTACCAACTGAGCCATACCTGCAGCCCCTAAGAGAAACATTATTAAAATGCTACATGAACAAAGTAAAACAAGATCTTTTGAAAATGAAAAAAATATATATTTTCAGACAGAAAAAAACTCAGATAAACCATTGCCAGAGAATAAATAAGTATTTTTTAAAAATTGTTTTCTGGAAGAGGGAATTGGATGTCAGAGAGAAAACTGATTCTAAAATGAAAATATCAAGAGTAATAGTGAAGATAAATATGGAATCCAAACAATCAATAGTCAGCAGGCCCAAAAACAGGCAGAAAAATAAAGCAAAAAAGGTGTAAAATAAAACCAATTTATACAAACTCTCCTAGACATTTGAAGAGGAAAGAATACTTACTTATTTTTATCAGACCAGTGGTAACTCTAGTTGCAAAATAGAATAAAAAAATTGTATGAAAAAAATGTAGACCAGTATTCCTTGTGAACATTGTTACATAAATTCTTAATAAAATTTAACTAACTAAACTCAACATTGTAAAACAATGAACATATCATGAACAAGTGGGATTTATGCTAAAAATCCCAGGATGGCTTAGTAATTAAACATAAACCAATGTAATTCACCATATTAACAGAATCAAGAAAAATAAGTCATACAATCATATCAATATGTATAAAGAAAGTATTGGATAAACTTTTAGATTCATCCCTGATTAAAAAAAGAATCTCCCAGCAAACTAGAAATACAAGGCAACGCTCTCAGCTACTCAAAAAGTACATTTAAGAAAAGCCCTCAGCTAAAATCATATGTAATGGTAAAAGATGGAATAGTTTCTCCCTAAGTTTGAAAACCAATCTAGGATATGTTCTCTACCACTTCTGTTCAACATTGCACTGTAGGTTCTAGATAGTGTAATAAGGCAAGGAAAAAAAAGATATGCGGATTGGAAAGGAGGAAATAGAACTCTTTTTTTCCTCCACAGTCAATACAGTCATCTGTTTAGGAATATAAAAATAAGCTGCTAGACCTAGCTAGTGAGTTTAGTAAGATGGCATGATAAAAGATCAATATATAAAAATTAATTGTATTTATATATTCCAGCAATGAATAATCAGAAGTTAAAATTTAAAAAGTGATACCATTTGTAATGCATCAAAACATGAAATACTTGGGGGTAAATCTGCCAAAGGACACACAAGATTTATTTATACACTAAAAACTGCAAGAACACTGCTGAGAAAAATTGAAAAGATCTGAATAATCAAGAGATAGGGGGCTGGGGATGTGGCTCAAGCTGTAAAGTGCTCGCCTGGCATGCGCTGGGTGCTGGGATCCATCCTCAGCACCACATAAAAATAAAATAAAGATGTTGTGTCCACCGAAAACTAAAAAATAAATATTAAAAAAATCCTCCCTCTCTCTCTTTCTCTCTCTCTCTCTCTTTAAAAAAAAAAGAGATAGGTTGTGTTCATAGATCATAAAAGTATTGCTAAAATGTCAATTCTCCCCCAATTTACATATAATTTAGTACACTATCATTGAAATCTTAGAAATGTTTGCACAAGTTGATAAGCTGATTTGAAGATTTATGTGGAAATGCAGAGGATTTATGGTAGTGATAACACACTTTGAAAAAGAATGAAGTTGGATGCCTCAGAACTGCCTGATTTTAAGAGTTATATAATAGTACAATTTATGATCTCTTTTGAGTTAATTTTGGTACATGATGTGAGACATGGATAGAACGTCTGTTTTAAAACAGATATACAGTTGTTCTAGCACCATTGAAAAGAATATTTATTCTCCACAATGACATGGAACATTCTTTATCCATTACATTATGGAGAAAAAAATATTTTTCCCAATTTGCAACTTTGTTGAAAATCTGTTGTCCATGTATGTATGCATCTATTCTTGTACTTTGTATTCTGTTGTATCAATATATTTGTCATGTGCTAGAATGAAACTGTCTTGATTACTCTTGTTTTGCTTTATTTTTGACTCTGTTTTATTATCAATGTATTTATCCTTTAGCCAATACTACACTCTACTATTACTGTAGTTTTATAGTAAATCCTGAAATCAGGTAGTAGAAGTCTTCAACATTTGTTCTTTTTTAAAAATTTGTTCTAATTAGTTATACATGTCAGTAGAATGCACTTTGATACATCATACATAAATGATGGAGTATAATTTCTTGTTCTTCTAGTTGTACATGATGTAGAATTCTGTTGATCGTATAATTATATATGTATATAGAGTAATAATGTCCATTTCATTCTACTATTCTTCCTACCCCCAAACCCCCTCCCCTCCTTTCATTTCTCTCTACCTAATCTGAAGTAACTATTCTTCCCTAGCTACCCACCCCATTGTGAAATAGCACCTGCATATCAGAGAAAACATTTGGCCTTTGGTTTTGAGGGATTGGCTTATTTCACTTAACATGATATTCTACAGCGCCATTCATTTATCAACAAATGCCATAATTTCATTATTCTTTAAGGTTGAGTAATATTCCATTACACACACACACACACACACACACACACACACACACCACATTTTCTTTATCCATTCTGTTGAAGGGCACCTAGGTTGGTTCCACAGTTTAGCTATTGTGAGTTTAGCTGCTATAAACATTAATGTGGCTGTGTCACTGTAACATTTGTTGTTTCTCAAAATTTTTTTGACTTACTCTATTTTTCCATGTAAATTTTAGAATCAGCTTGTGTTGAGAGCCACAGCCAAAGGGGCCCCAGCAAACTTCCAGCTGCCAGCAAACTTCCAGCTGCTGGCTGATGATTGGCTCACAGCGGCCCCAGCAACATCTAGCTGATTGGCTCCTCTGCGGTGATGCTCATTGGACTGTTTCCCTGCCCTTTCAGACCACGGAGCTGCTCATTGGGGGACTTTTTTGGCTCCGCCCACGTGACCCAGCCAATCGGCCTCAAGAGCAGGAGGATTGTGGGAGGTGGAGAGAAGCTTGTGTGGGAGAGAGAGGCTTGGGGAAAGCCGGTGGTGGCAGTTGAGGCTCTGAGGGTTTTTCCTGAGAGACTATTTTGTTTGTCGTGTGTGGTTCTAAAAATAAAGTTAGTTTCTTTTGACAAGTGGCTCCTGATTGTGCCCAGCCAGACTGCGGCAAGCTTGTCATTACTATCAAAAAATTCTTCTTGGATTTTTATTGTAATTTCATTGAATCTATATATCTGTTTAGGGAAGACTGACATCTAAATGATATTAAGTCTTACTATCCAAAATCACATTTATTTGGGTCATCCTTAATTTTTTCTTGTGTTTTGTAATGTTATATATATCATATATTTTGTAAGCCTTACACATATGTATTTCATGGGTTTGGGTGCCCCTTGTAGAAGGTATTTGCTATGAAGTGAATTATGCTCCCCAATACCAAATTCATATGTTGAAACCCTAATGCCCAATGTAACTATATCTGGAGGTAAGGTCTTTAGGAGTTAATTAGGGTTATAAGGGTGGGGCTGTAATCCAGTAGGACTGTGGCCTTATAAGAATAGGAAGATTCTGTGTGTATCTCTATCTTTTCATCTCTCTGTATCTCTCTCACCATCAAGTGAGGGCATAGTGAGGAGGCAGCCACGTGCAAGCCAGGAAGATAGCCCTCGTTGGGAATCAAATTTGCTCTCCCATTGATATTGGGTTTCTCAACACCCAGAATTGGGAGAAAATAAATTTTGTTGTTGAAGCCATCCAATCTATGTAATTTTGTTATGGCATTTAAGCCAACTAATATAGTATAGATGCTCCTAGATTTATGATGAGGTTATATCCCAATAAACTCGTCATAAGTTGAAAACATCATTAGTCAATGATGCATTTAAGGAGCTGGGGATGTGGCTCAGTGTTAAAGCACTTGCTTGGCGTATGAGGCCCTGAGTGCAATCCCCAGCACTGCAAAAAAAAAATGCATTTAACACACCTAATCTACCAAATAGTATATTTTAATAAAAGTATGCTGTGGAATATCAGTTATTTCTCTTTGTAATGGTGTGACCAGTGGGAGCTTCTGGGAGCTTCCCCTTCCCAGCCTTGCAAGAGAGTTACATATTACAGATTTTTAGCCCAAGAAATGATCAAAATTCAAAATTAGAAGTATCATTTCTACTGAATGAACATGACTTTTGAACCATTATAAAGTTAGGCCCATATCACAGTCTTGATTAGTGTAACTTATTAGGAAGATTTGAATAAAGGCGGTATATCCTAGACAAAAACTGGTTGTCCAGTTTTTTCCTTTGGCCACTTTTTGTTCCTATACATTGCCACTTACCTTTTAATACGTTTATAGTAAAATCCCACCAAATAAGTTTGCCTGGGATTTTGTTGAGGATTTCATTGAATATATAGATAAAATTGGAGGAAATTGCCAACTTAACAATGTTCAGTCTTCCAACCCATAAACAAGTTATCTCTAGACATTCACTTCTTTAAATTCTCTTATCAAGGCTTTGAGGTTTTTAGCATGTAGGTCTTGTATATTTATTAAATGTATTCCAAAGTATTTTGTTCTTTCTTATACTATTGTGATTGGAATTGTTTTTATAATTTCATTTTCAGGTTGTTTGGTGCTATTTTATAGAAACAATTGAGTTTGACATATTGTATTGCATTACCTTACTAAATCCATCCAGTAGTTCTAGTAGCTTTTTTTTTTTTGATCATTTTCCAAGGATTTTATACATAAATTAGCAGTAATTTGTGAACAAAGGAAATTTCACCTTTGCCTTTCCACTTTATCCCTTTATTTCCTTTTCTTGCTTTACTACACTGGTAGAACTTTCAGGACACCAGAACTTTCAGTGTAGAAGTAGTGAGACTATAATTCCAATCTTAGTGTAAAAGCATTCAATCTTTGGTCATTAAGTGTGATATTATTTGTAAGTGATTTTGGGGGGTTTTTTTTGGCTGTGCCTTTTATCTGGTAGGTTTCCTTCTAGTCCTACTTTATTAAGAGTCTTTTTTTTTCCTTTTATCATGATAGGTATTGGATTTTATCATTATTCTTTCTGTTGAGATAGTAGAGTGAAACTTGCTCTCCATTTTATTAATATGGTTATATTGGTCAGTTTTGCATGACTGTACTAAAATACCAGAGGCAATTAACTTATAAAAAGAAAAGGTTTACATTGGCTTATGGTGTTAGAGTTTCCAGTCCAAAATCAGGCAGTCCTATAGCTTTAGGCCTCTGGCCAGGGGCAGCTCAACATACCAAAGCAAACCACTTACATGATGAGTCAGGAAGCAAAGAACAACTTAAGGATGGAGTCTCACAGTTCCCTTCAAGGGCATAACTTCAATGACCTAAGAAGCACCTTCAATGGCCTAACTCCTAAATGATCAGCTGCATAACCCTATTATATCACCCTAGGCACTAAGCCTTTATTTAATACATGGGTCTTTGGGACACACTACCCATATCCAAACCATAGTAATGGTGTATTGCATTATTTGATCTGGGAATGTTAAACCAACCTTGAATCACTCAGGTAAACCTCACTTGGTTCATAGTATACAGACTTTTTTATATGTTCCTGGATGTATTTTTTTGCTAATATTTTATTAGATATTATGATGATAATGAGTTTTACACCCACTTTATGAAGGAGACTGAAGTGTTATTTTATTTCTTTTCATATCTTTAGCAAATAGGATAATATTAGCTTCATACAACAAATTGGGCAGTTTTTATTTTGAAAGAATTTATGTTAAATCTGTTGTTAGGGTTTAAATATGAGGTGCCCTCAAAAGCTCATGTTTGAGACAATGCAAAACTGTTCAGAGGTGAATTGATTAGATTATAAGACTCATGACCTAATCAGTAAATTATTCTGCAAATGTGGATTAACTGGGTGGTAACTAGGAAGGTGTAGGTGGAAGAGGTGGGTCATTGGGAGATGTGACTATATTGTCCCTGGTGAGTGGAGCTCCCTGTGCTTCCTGGTTGCCATTTCCTGTGCATCTTTCCTCCATCATGCCCTTCCACCATGTGCTCTCTGTACATCTCCTGTCCAGAGCTAAGGAGTCACCTGATCACCTGATCATGGACTGAATCTCTGAAACTGTGAGGGGAAATAAACTTTTTATGAAATGATTTTAATTATCAATTCAATTTCTTTTTTCTTTTTCTTTTTTTTTTTTTGATATGTATTTTGATATTTACTCTTCCTTCCTGAGTCAATTTTGGTCATTTATATCTTTCTCAGAAATTTTTTTTTCTTGTACTGGGGGATTGAACCCAGGGTCACTCTATCACTGAGCTAAATTGCTATCCCTTTTTATTTTTTATTTTGAGACACTGTCTTGCTAAGTTGCAGAAGCTGACCTCAAACTTGAAATTCTCTTGCTTCAGCCTCTTGGGTAGCTATGATTATAGGTATGTAACACCAAGTCGAAGTCTTTCTCAAAATTTTAAAATTTGATATAATCTGTCTTGTCACTATAAAGTTATTAATAATACTCCCTGTCAATTCTGTCTGTGGCAATGGCCCCTCCTTTAGATCTTTTGTTTTGTTTGTTTTTAGTAATTTGTGTATTCTCTTTTCTATTTTTTGGTCAGTCTAGCTAAAAGTTTATCCATTATTGGTTTAATTTCTTTTAATGCTTTTTTTTTTCTATTTCATTGGCTTCTGTCTGATTCTTTGATTAACTTCCTTCTGCTTACTTGGAGTTTGATTCAGCCATCACTTTAAAGTCTTCTGAAGTGAGAAGCTTAGATTATTAATTTTGAATCTTTGTCCCTTTCTGTGTTTAAAACTATACATTTTCCTTTAAGGACCACTTCATCTATATTCCATAATTTTCACATATTTTGTTTTTATTTTTTTAAGTTCGATTATTTTAAGTTTTCATTTGTGATTTTTCCTTATTTTATTTAAAAATGTGCTGATTTTTATTTTTATTTGTTCTTTTTAGTGATACATGACAGCAGAATCTATTTTGATGTATTTATGCAAACATGGAATATATTGTATTAGGATTCCAGTCTTGTGGATGTACATGATGTTGAGTTTCACTGTGGTGTATTCATATATGTACATAGGAGAATTATGTCAGATTGATTCTACTATCTTTTCTATTCCTATCTCTCCTCCCCTAATTCCCCTTTGACTAATCCACTGAACTTCTATTCCTCCCCTTACCACCTCCCTGCCTGTTATAAGTTAGCATCAACATATGAGAGAGAATATTTAACCTTTGGGGTTATGGGGATTGGCTTATTTCACTTAGCACGATAGTCTCCAAATTCATCCATATATTGGTGAATGTCATAAAATCTTTCTTCTTTATGGCTGAGTAATAATAGTCTATTGTGTGTATATATATATATATATATATATATATATATATATATATATATATCACAATTTCTTTGTGCATTCATCTATTGATGGGCATCCAGATTGGTCCCATAGTTTAGCTATTGTGATTGTGCTGCTGTTAATATTTATGTGGCTTAGTGTCATTGTAGTATGTTGATTTTAACTCCTTTCGATACTTACTGAGGAGTGGTATAACTGGGTCAAAGGGTAGTTCCATTCCTAGTTTTTTGAGGAATCCATACTGCTTTCCAGAGTGGTTGCACTAATTTGTAGTCCCACCAACAATGTATGGTTATATCTTTTTTCCTATATCCTTGTCAACATTTATTGTAACTTGTATTCTGAATAATTGCCATCTGGAATGAGGTGAAATCTCAGTGTATTTTTAATTTGCATTTCTGTAATTGCTAGAGATGTTGAACATCTTTTCATGTATTTGTTGACTATTTGTATTTTTTTTTTTTTGAGAAGTATCTCTTTAGTCTCTTTGCCCATTTATTAATCGGGTTATTTGTTTTTGTTTGTTTGTTTGTTTTTGGTGTTAAACTTTTTGAGGTCTTTGTATGTCCTGGAAATTAATGCCCTATCTGAAATGCAGGAGGCAAAGATTTTCTCCTATTCTGTAGGCTCTCTCTTTGTGCTGGCTTTTTTCCTT